GAGGGCTGACCTGTGAAACTTCAGGCGGTGGCTCCGCCCACACCGACTTGTGCCTTTTGCTGCCGCTGGTGCTGTCTTTCGGCATCTGCACTAGAAAGCATGCAAGCGGTTTAGCCCTTCTCCTGCATGAATCTGAACCAGGCCCAGTTCAAGGCGCCAAAGGGTTGACAGCACGGGTACTGGTTTTCAGGAAGCATATCCATTTGTGTGCAACTGCATAGTGTAGCTGCCGGCTAAGCCCAGCATAGAAAAGCGGACTCGCCGGGCAAGGGGCAAGGAGGCAAATGGCAAACTGCCATGCAATGCCATGGCAGGAATGGACCTGTGCGATGTTTATGTGCTTCTGGTCTTCCCTTGCCATGTCAAGGCCTGCACACCAAAGGCGAACTTGGCAAGTCTTGGACTGCTTGTAAATGATGCAGGAGACGGTTGCCCCCTGTTGAGGTCGTCGTGTGGCTGGCGGCGGCTCAGTGAGTAGCCGTATGTGTATATGCACATATGCATTTACACAGAGGCAGTAAATTGCCCGGTTACGAGCTCTCTTGCCCTAGCCACGATGCTTCCATTTAGCCTGCTTTCAGTGCAGGCAGCACAAACTTATGCATATTGGAAGATCAATTCGCGGATGCAGTTGGGGCAACAGCTCTTGGTAGGTTAGTGTGCATGTTGCTGAGGTGAAATATGTCTCAGGGAATACAGCAGATGCAGCAGCCACAGGTTGCAGACAAAGCCGGGGCCGCCGTGCATATTCAAACACCCAACACCTGGTTTCGCATGCGCACTGCAAGCATCGTGTCATTTTTTGTCCATCCACGGTTCCAATCGCCCTTTGTAAGTTGACTGCATTGTTGGCAAAAGCTCGTGCTGGTCTGGCATTCAACAGACAGAAGGGAAGTGAAAGTGATCGGCAGACATCTCGTAAACTATTTGTCTCTTGTTGTGCCTATAGCATCCATGCAGCTTCCTGATACTAGTAGTGAACTGACACCACCCGTCTGCTGTCGGCAGGCTGCAATGCGACGTGCTATCTGTATAGATGCGAACAGCTTTGCTTTTCGCGGTTCTGTGGCAATGTTCCGGTCGTGCTAAAGCACTTGTTGGGAAGCAGGGACTGTGCAGCCGAGTGGCAGGGAAAGCTCTCATCCCATGGGAGACCCTGGCCTTGCTGGGCGGCATTCAGCCGTCTTTCTCCAGAGAGCATAGGTCTTAGGTGCCGTATCTGGAGGCAGAACGTCTAGCAAAGCCAAACCCTTGCTGGAGCTCGCATCCCGCACTCCAGCTTCGAATTTCATGGATGCAAAAATCGGACACCAGCTCAAATGTGAATTGGAGCTGTGGCGTTGCGTCATGTGATTGCCGGTGCTGAGTAATGTGTTTGTTTAAGATGGATATGATACGCACAAGTCTCGAAGGGGCTTTGCCAACCTGATGTGCTCTCACCTACTTCTGGCTCAAGGCTTCAAGGAGGCGTGGTGGAAAGGACGGAACTCAATTTCCGAACGCGTAGGCGGCAGCATAGTCTGGCTTCGTCGATGCGCAGCAGGACTTGAGATACGGAGGTCTTTGGCCCTACATGAAAAAGCATCATCCATCAGGGATTTTGCTTCGACAACAGTGATTTCTGGCGAGTTCGCCCTTCGACCGATGGCAAGGGTGACCTCGCGGCGCCAGAATTCTACGCGCAGCCTGAGTGTCACTCGGATGTATTCAGCAGTGATTTCTGATTTCTCTTGGCTGTCATGGCCTTAACGCATCCTGTTAGCAAACTATGGCCTCGCCCTTGTCCTTCCAAGGAGTCTACCAATCTCCCGAAACACTCTCGGAAGTTGTTTGACCGATCTTTTCCGTGTGCTTGGGATGGTGCTCGGCGTCCAGGGTGTGCTGAGAAGTGCTCTTGTGGCTGGACAGAGCGGTGCCATCCGAGCTTTGTGTTTGTCCCAGACAACACTAGCAGTGGTAGACACGGGCAACTGGTGGATGTCGGCGTATGCGGCATGGACTTTCGAGTTCCAGTGCTGGTGTCGCTGCTGTTGCCAGTCCTTCTTCTAACCTGCCTGATCTCCGTGCGCCGAATCATGACGGATGCCGTGTACTCTGAGCTGAAGCTCTTTTCTCGGGAAAGCCGTCGGATGGATGATCTCTGCAACAAAAAGTTCTTTAAGTTCTTTGGCAAGTGAAGCCGGCAGGAGTTTGCTTTTGATCTGCTAACATGTAGTGAAATGGTTTAAGTTTCGTGTTTTTCGGATGCATGTTCCCCTTGTTTACGACTCCAAGGGGGCAAGAGGTGGCAGGCTTAGCCAGGACTCTGAGGACTGGCTGGGTGAAATGTCTAGGCTGCATGCAGGTGACAGCTATAGTTATAGTATATAGATAGTATATAGTATATAGTATATAGTATATAATATATAGTATATAGTATATAGTGTATAGTAGAAAGTATATAGTATAGCTGATGATGTGTTTTTTCATTGTGATGGAAGCTGGCTCTGTGGAGCTCGCGGGAGTTGCCGTTTACCATTTCACCTGCCGTGGTAGCCGAAATAGCCTCAGGAGAAACATGCTTTTTTGTCCTTATCGGGTTTCTCAGCAATAGTTACAATATTCCAGGTGCCGGCTAGGGGGGAATTTTTTTTGGGGGGGCCTGCCGACCAGCACATCTTGCAATGATGGGTTTACGGGCTGTAACAAAAGTTCGTCCATTCCCCAAGCTTCGTAGCCCCCTTCTCAATCGTGACTGTGCTGTGTCAGGAGAAAGGGCGAGGAGACCCAATGAAGCCAGGTCTGAGTTGCTCATCAGCCGCAGTTCCCTAGCCGTAGCCTGACAGTCTTCCGGACGGATTTCCCCATAGGGGGTTTTCATGCCGGGACAGCCGGGTCGTGTTCAACTTTCCCATGTGCTTGGGGATAAAAGTGCAGGGGCTACAGCCTTGCTGGACACATGCCGACGTTTCAGCGACCATGGCAGCCAGCGACGAGTGGCTCAACGTCCTAAAGGAGCCGGGGCCGAAGGGCAAAGAGCACAGGTGAACTCTTCCGGGCACAATTCCACAACACTCAGCGAGAAGCAACACATAATGCAAATCACGAAGTGCAAGCAGATCCTGAGCATCGTCGCCTTTGAGCATCATGAAACCTTGCGGAGCAAACGGCATTGAGGCGCAGCGCAGCAGCGTCTTGCTTTCAATGCCGTATGTTGTTTCTAGATTTACAAGGATAGCAGCTGGAAAGGCACCATTGCTGTGTGGATCCTGCCAAGACTTTGACGTCGGAACCCTTGCCAGCTCGAAGCTTCTCACTCATTTGTATCTTTGTCTACTCCCCTCTTCAGTTGCTCGGTGTCCCTTCGTCTTGTTGGGCAAAGTGTAACACCCTGCCAGGCAGCTTGCCTTGTCATGTGGTGCCGGCCTCTGTGCAGAGTTTCAGCTGCACCGTTGTGTAATCTGCAGTTGATGCGTCTGTCCCGCAATTGGCGAGAGCAGTCCAAGAGCTTCTAAGGAGATGCGTCGGACGCCAGGATGGGTTTTCCTTCTGCAGGCAGGAGCTCGCATGCCACACCGCCACAGCTCTACCTTCAGTTTCCCAGCACTTTCCAGAACTATCATGACTGATCTTTTGACTGGAGTGGCTTTTGCTTCTTGCTTTTTCTCATGGGAAGCTGCCGGTGCAGCACTGCTTGACGGCCCTCGCCAGTTGCTGCCCACAGGTGCTTCGAACTACCAGCCAGCAGGCGTGGATGTGCTAGAGGGACATCGAGGATCGTTGGAAATGCTTTGGCTTTTCAGGAACTAGGTTGGCTGTACATTGTAAATGGTACATCACATCAACGGCTCAACGAGAGCTGCTTTGTTTCTTCTGCCCACCTGGCCAGTTCAGTCTGACAGTGTCCGGGCGCGTGGTTGCGGGCGGAACCGGCGGAAGTACTTGCCTGGGGCCCAGGAACCCAGATCTCACAAGAAGTCCAGGCTTGCTTTTCTCCCTCTTGTGCTGAGGCACGACTTCGGGGAGCAACGCTGACCATCTCAGTGAGCCAGCTGCCTCCTCGGAGTTAGTGAGTCGCACGCGAGGATGGAGCTGAGCTTTGCGCTGGTTCAGGCATAGATCGCATGTCGTCTGCAGTTTCTTGACGGACTGCGCGTATTGAGCAAGCACCAAAGCAATGTCCGGTGAGGGAGGCAACGAGAAGCGAGGCCTAGGCCCAAGTTCGATGGGTCTCGAGGCAAAGAGAAGGCACTTGCATCGGCACGCTCGTGTGCAAACTGGAAGTCGTGAAGCAACCAAAACTAAGTGTGTGCATAGACAAACAGGTGAGTCCTGTTACAAAGGATCGATTGCAGCCATTTGGCCAGTGAGGAGCGTCTTCAGTGACTGATCGACTACTTAGGCACGTGGACAGCAAGACGGCATGCCATGATGTGGTCAACAGGCATCTACCACCCAAAACCATGTAGACAGCAGGCAGCCTTGGCTTCACTGGGAGACCTAGAGAACTTCAGATACACTCAAAGTACGCAAACACAAAGAAGTTATGCTGAGACTCCAGCTATGCTCAAACAGTTGCTGGTGGCCCTGGCACCAGCGAGCACGGCAAAAGGCAAGACTGATAGAGTTCAAACTTCAGCTCATTTCCCAGGCTTCCAACTGTGATGTGTCTTGCTGTGCCGCTTCGCACAAAGTTGGAGCGCAGCCAAATCTCATGCAAGGTTCAGACTTCGTGCCCAGTAGTCATCGAGAGGCCTCGCATCCTCGGCACTCTGTCTTGCAGGGCCGGCACACCGGCTACCGCCTAAGGCACGTTTTGCTTTGGATTGCAGTCTGGCGTCCCCTCTTTCTCCTTTACGTGTGCGTTGAGCTGCAGATGCTGAATGCTGCCATGTGCACAGCAGGTGGCATTGGAGCAAGCTGCCAAAGCTGCAGAAGTTTTGGAGGCAGGGTGCCCTGCAGATATCGGCGAATGCCGAACGGGCAGTGCGGGTTGGTATGCCACCCTCTTCAGGCAGATGCATTCGCACTGCTGGCCAGGAAGGTGGGGTCCACTCCGGCGCATGACGTGGGTTCCATGCTGTGTGGTCTCTTGAGGCAGAAGCAATGCCCAAGGAGGTGGCCGGCTTTGACACAACGTGGTTCAAGGGCGTCTCCTACGAGGCGTGCGATGCCTGATGCACCCAGTGGTTTCAACTAGTTGAGTTCCCTTCTGACAGGTGGACGGCCGCGGCCGGTCCGGGCTGCTTGAGGACGGGTGACGAGTGCTGGTGGGGTAGGTCGGGCAGGGTCCAGCTAGGGACGGAAGCTTCGAATCGGATGTAGTTGGACCAGTGTAGAATACGTGCACTTGTGCTATTTTGAAAATGGGTGCTTGTTACACGCAGAGTCTGGCCACTGCGTGCATCGCACCATTAAGGACCTCCGATACTACTCCTTCAGCAGAAACGGCTCTCACATTCTGGAGGCCGGCTCAAGGTTCAATGGTTACTCCACGGCCGTCCTTCTATTCCGAAGATAGCATACCGGCAAGCCCACCAAAGTCCACGCTGCACGAAGCCAGCCTGCATGATCTACATCCCCCAAAATGAACACATATCATCAGTGTTGACACCATGTCATAGCCTGAAGACCCAAACGTCAACATGACTAAGACCGAGTGAGAAAACTTTGAATGCACGTCTAGTTCAAAGTACAAAGCACAGTCAGTGTACCGTCCAATGCAAACCCCGCGCCCAGCGCCCAGAGGCAATTTCCCTGTAAGTCTCGCTAGGCCTATCGCCAAATCTCCGGCAACTTTTTGGGCCCGCTGACGGTCGCGGAGGGCAGAACCTGGGAGCCAAGATTGGCTGAATGGCACGAGAACACTTGCGAATTCTATAAATGATTATAAGCTATAGGACAGTATAAGGTGTTGTGGGAGTGGCCTTCTTTGTGCATCCCGCCCTCCACTGATTCAGGAAATGCTTTCCACGTTCGAACCTTGTTCCATTGCTGGGAGCAGATTACCGCCGCTGAAGCAGCGCGCGGCCAGCGAGTCTCGCCAAGAAGGTCTTGGCAGCTTTTGAGTTTTCAGAGGGGACTCAGCTTGAGCTGCAGACGACGCTGGGTTGTGAGGCTACAAGTACTGGATATTTGCACGCTTGGATTGGCTGTGGCTTGCACTGCCACCCGCTTTATCCACTTTCCAACGAGCTGATCCAGCTGCTGTTTGGATTCCGGACGGGCAGGACTTGGGTGCCTTGAATGCGCATTTGCCAAGCGAAATCAGTCTTAAGGCACGTCCGAGCTTAGATGTTCGGGTGAGGACTGGGATGGCATCAACGACCGCTTTGCCGTGGTACCACGGAGGTATGCAAAGCCATACTTTGGCAGGTGGCCTTGGCTAGTGAACGGCAGTCTGCTTCCGATGATGCTTCGAGCCGCCACGCGAAGTCGCTCCGAAGTCTCCCCTGACCTCTATCGTGGCCCCGAGTGGTCCCTGCTTGCTGCGCTCCACTGGTATCGGCTTCCCGTCCGACGCTTTGGGTCCACGGGAGCGGTTCTTTGCCTGGGTGGCCGTCGTGCGAAGTACGGAAGATGCACGCGGCGAAAGAGGCCCAGCGATCTGTCCTATAAGTACAGCGGCGAGGTCAGTGAATCGTCTGCAGCTTGCCTACAAGTTTTTGGGACGGTTGTTGAGGCTCTCCCATAGCGAACCCTTCAGCCGGCTCAAGGAACTTAGCCTTCGTGTTCAGGGCTTAAGCTTACAGCCCTGCTTGAGTCTATAGGGCACCGTAGGGTTGAGGAGTGCTGGAGTAGGTTCAACATGTAGGGTGTATCTCGGGATGGGAGACCAGGGGAAGTCCTCAACGCATCAGCTATCGCTTACTTCTGAGGGTTGATTGGCGCAAGCTTGTAATTTACCAGTTTGGCTCTCTCCCACGCTCCTTGGGACGCTTGTTGTATGTTCGATGGATCAGGGCTCGGCAGGCTTGCAACAACAACAACAACAAGTTTTGTGGCTGGCGACATCTTTCTTGCATTGTAACCCGGTATATGTTTCGGTGCAGAAAGGTGACGGAGGTAGGCCCAGGTACGGCAAAAGGTCAAATGTCAAAAGCGACTCTCATCGCCACAGCCTCGTGGGCACACGTTTGGCTCCATCCAGAAGTCGAGATTTTGCAATCCCTCTGGTGGAAAAAGGAATTCAGCAAGAGACCCAGAAATCATGCAATGTACTCCAAGAGTTGACGGAAAGTTCAACGATGCAGCTTTGGAGGAGCAATTCGAAAAGCTAAGGCATACTGAATATGCTGTGAATCAGCAGAGTGAAGGCTTGGTTGGCAAGTCCACTTAAGGATGACTGCAAGCCCTCGGAGCCCAAGGCAAATGTTCTGCTGTTGCGAGACGGCTGGACCTGCGGCGCAGTGTTTTTGACATGTCTACAGTGCACGGGTGCTGCTTGATGCTGCAGTGGCCTCACAAGCGTGCTGTGGAGCCAAAGAGCGTGTAATCAGCGACTGTCTGGTCGGGAGCCTTAAGTTCCACCGCTCTAGCGCCGAGGGTCCTTGATTCCTCGATGAGTTTCTCTCGCAAGGACCTGGCGCTTTTTGGCCTCGCCACGTCTTGAGCCACCCTGCTTCGACAAGGCCGAAACGATTTGGAAAGGATTTCATTCGCTGCACTTCAGCGCCCAATGGCATACTGCTCCATGAGTCCATGATTCAATCAGCCTGCAGCAACAAGCGGGCTCCGCTTGCCTTGATCAGGACGGGGAGGAAAAGTGGTGCTGCAGCACTCAGCATGGAGTTGCAGGCCATTGCCAGCCCTCCCTTTTCAGGCATTCTCTTGCGCAGCCCTGCTAAAAAGAATAAACGAGCAGCTTCAACTCCAACAGCGGCATCTTCAGGCTGGGATTGTGAGCGCCACACAGCTACTGCAGTTTCAATCCGAGTGGCATTGCTCCCGACGTGAGGGTGGTGAGAAGTTGGAGCCCTTTGCATAGCGTAGCAGCTGCGAGCAAGTGCCCGAGAACATGTCGTGTGAGCAGGTAACGCAAAATGCTGGACCGACGCATGACGGCTGCAAACAAATTCCCCATGCCACCGACAACAACCAAATGTTGCGGCACCAGTTCACCATTCTGAGAGGGGTGCAGAAGCAGCGAAGACCGGGCTGTGTTCTGTGAGGCTTGTGCTCCCATTTGACCGAGACTCTACGTGCAGCAATAGTGCATGCCATTCCGCGATCCGAGGTCTACAACTACGCCCGCTGCTGCCTAGATCGACCTGCCGGGCTGTTTGCAGCTCCGCACTTTTACGTTTTAAGCTGTCGTGCCTACACCCAGCCACGAGAGCCCCGCCGAAGCTCAGTTGTGTGCAGGTGCTGCCCAGTCCAGCGGCTGCTGAGGCGTCTCCGTCGCAGATTTGGGCTTCCGCTTCCAGGGGTCGGTAGACTCTATGCCTATGCTCCACATTCTCCAGGAGAATGGTCCGATGGGGAGTGCGGACACAAAGAGAGTCGACCTGCGCCGAGGCCATTCTCACCTCCGGCCAGTATCCATTTTGTTGGAACATCGTCGAAGCTGTGCAGCGATGCCTTGGACGGGAGGATCTGGAGCTTCTTGCGAACACAAGCGCGAGATGAAAATGTCCATCAGCAGTCGGTTTGCACATGCTTGTTATTGTTGTTTTTTGTGCAAGCGGTGACGAGTCATGCGGCCAATGTGTGGTCGTTGTAGATTTTAAAAGTTTGAGTTGAGCTGAGACAGACGCAGCATCCCCCCTGCCCCCGCTAGAGCTTTGGAGAAGTTGATCGGCTCCATGCAACACTTCGGGCAGTTGATTGCTTTTCCCTTGGATGGCTGTCAACAGGACTTCTCCTGCAGCTGCATAAGATGTGGAGCAGTTCGCGCTTTAACATGCAAGTGTGTTCGAAGTGACAGTGAGGTCGATGTTGCGAGCCCGGCCAGTTAGTTCGGACAGAACGGAGAGGGAACGATTTGGACCGAGGTGTTTCGCGAAACAAGTCGGGCAAACGCCATGCTACAGTAGTGAGTTGGCTGTGCCAGGCCAGCGGCCCAGGTGGCGACATCTATGTCCTTGACAAGGCCGTGTAAGCTCTGCAGGGCAAGTTTGTGGGCATGGGTCATTTTGCAGCCCCCAATGCGGCAGCAGCGTCATGCGTAGACAGATTTCAGCGTCGTTCAGGCGTGCTCTCGAGTGGGAGCCTTTGGGGCCGCTGCGAGAGATGTGTCGACTAGAGTCCTCTCCGGAGGAATGCCGCGCGCATTCCTTCGGCCGTTTCTGGTGCCAAGGTCACGTTGGCCACCGTGACGGGCGGAACCTCGGACGGTGGCTTGGTCGTCGCAGCGTCCTGAAAGCACGACCGTGACCGTTTGGGTGGTGGTTTGGTGATGGTGTCGTAGAGCCGGGGATTGAAGCAGAGGGGCCTTAACGCTCGAACCTGTTTACTCCACACTTGATGCAGAACTTGTGGCGCTGAGGCTGGCGGTTCCCAGGGCTCTTTCCTTTCGAATCTCTTCTTTCCGGAGGCCTGTGAGAGATGTGCATCATCAGAAAATCTGTGGCATGACTTTTTCTACAGGAAGCCACCAGAAACCATGCCTTTCTGCAACAGGCATTGGCGTTCGATGATGCATCTGGTCTCCGCGGCTCCTTTATACTTTTCCACCGATTTCTACCAGCATAAGTTCAGCACTGCTGGGCTTCAATGCGGCAGACCCAGTGCATCACGAACCGCCGGTTATCGCGCTGGGTAGTTCTGCAGCCTGTCTAATGGAAGGTCTTCTGCGTAAGCGTAGTGTGTCGTGCCAGCGCTGTGACAATTGCCGCCTGAAGCAATCAGTGGTGGGACGGGTCCCTCTGCCAGGGCAGCTGTACATTGCCGACACCCAGAATCACCGGGCCGCGATGCAAGTGTCTGATGTGCTGAGACGTCCCTCGCGCGCTTACTCCGGACTGCCAACACCCCCCCATGGGATGGACACCTCGAGTGTGCATGCAACACCGAGGTGCTTCGCTGGATTCCCAGTGGGGCTTCCGGAACGGCCGTGGCAGGTGTCCCGGAAGCCCAGGGTGCATGCATTTCGTACATGTCTTAAGTCAAGCGTGTTGTAGATGTAGGCAAAGTCGCCGGCCTGAACTTGAGGTCGATGGTGGCCCGGGCACAGATGCAGGCTGCCTTGGCTCGCTTTGTTGGTGTTGCTTTAATCTTTAATCCACATGCATCGAGTTGTCTTTAGCCGTTTCATCCAAACCTGACGCATCCTCGCGCATCCGCAGAAAGCAGTGGACAGGAAAGCTGAACTTTCCTTCTGGAGTGACCTTGACAAGCAGTGGGTGGCCAAGCAGAGCTTGAGAGGCTCCTCCACTACCATACGGATTCTGCAAGTTTTCATGTGGTCATTGGCTTTTCTGCGTGGTCCAGGCAGGGATGGAACTCGTGCAAACACTGCCGCAGGTTGTCGTTGTTTGAAGCTACTCTGGCTCCGTGTGCAGATGCTCATGACGTTGGCAGGGTTCACGTGCTGAACCCACACACAAACACAAACACCAGCAGATTCAAACTCCACTCTAGCGGACGCCAGCACGGCTTTATAATGCCATGCCTAAGACCGAAAGTGTTCCCGACTCCAAGCGTTTTGCGTCGGGTTTGTCTCATCGACTTCGTCCGTGTGGCGCTGAGCAGAATCCTTCAACATCCTGAAGCCGCAAGCCGCAGAATTATGGAAGGGTTACCTTTGAGTTTATCCGATCAGGCGAGAAGAGTCAACAAATCTGTAAGCCGATGCTATGGGTGGATCGGTAGATCACTTTCGCACGTGAGCGAACTACGGCGGCTTCCTGGAAACCCGGAATTGCACACGTAGTAGGGTTTGCCAAAAATCCTAAACATGTGAATGGGCATGGCTGGCCGGTCAAGATGAACTATCCCGGTGACGCCAGTGCGCTGGTTGGCAAGGCCAGCCCAGGATGTCAATTTTGCCAGGACGTTAACGTCAATTCTCGAGAGTTTCGGAAGGTCCTCGATGGCCTTGACGATGGCCTGCACACTTGGCGGCGAAGTGCGGCACCAAGGTGCACCGTCAAGGGTTTAAGCTTGACATTCTGGCTTTGCAGGGCTAGCACTGCGCAGCGTGGCTGTTCCTGCTGGCTTTGCTCTTTTTGTGGAACAGAGTGCATAAACAGCAAACAAAACGAAACAAACAAAGCAAAAACAAGCGCACACACACACACACTTCTACTACTACCTGCCTGCCTCCCTACCTACCTAATTACCTACACCTACGTTTACCTAATGCAGACACCTCACCGCGACCTTGGTACCCAGACTGCAGTGCTGGGCTTCGCCTTGGATTTCTTCGTGCTTCTGCCCGACATCTCAGCTCCCGGGTCGACTTGTGCAGGTATCCAGCCACGTCTTGTCTGAATCTGCGACTATTCGATCCTCTCATTCGGCGAACTCCTGAGGTTTCTTGCACATCCAAATCTTCACCTTCAAGCGAAGTCCTTCTTCGGTCTCGCATCCTTTACCGGACTTTGGTTCTTGAAGCTCGAAACTTGTTGTTGCCGACTGAACTCTTGTCCAGGGCATGGCGGGCCGAGACTCCGCAATTTCTCAGCCACCTTAAAGGAAGAACCCGCCCTTCCCCCTAGGCTCCTTCTTGAAACTCGTTGAACGAGCTGTGGAGCTGTTGGGCTCTGTGCAGGAAGAGAGGACCAGGTCAGAATGTGCCAAAGCCACGGTCGAAGCTTTGGCTCGAATCTTTCGGCAGCCATGGCCAGGGTCACGATGTGGTGGTTGATGGCCGTTCCTTGCTTCGACACTGGCTTTCGGGGATTTTCAATGTTGAATTTGCGTTTGGTGCTCGGGATGGCGACCAGTTTGAAGAAGGCATTGCTTTACGCATTCTCGTTGAGCTTCAAGTTCTCGCGATGCTCACATTCCGAAATGTTTAGTCGGTGCTGCGCCGGCACCAGTTCCTGGCATCTCAGGTGGCTTGGCAGGCCCAGACTGAAGCAAAACAGATCCTGGTGACGGGTGGCGTGATGAAAAGCCGCTTACTGAGTAAGGAAGGGCGCCACAATACATATGCATGACGAAGCATGGAGAAGACCTCCTGTAGGTGCATTGTGGCCAAGGTCACCATCTGGCCGTCGTGCCAGTGGTGGAGGGCTTGCTGGAGCGCGGCCACAATGTCACGATGGCGCTCCCCAACACGACCGAAGCGCTCCAGTGGTTCCCTAATGGCATTGGCACAGCGAACCTCATCTACATCGGTGACGAGACCGCGTCACTCAGCAGTTTCAAGGTTCCGGACATGAAGAACCTGCGCTGGCATGAATGCATCCTAGCATGGGGCAAGATCATATGGAATTACAAGTCCCTGATAGATGGGCCTTTTTTCTCCGTGGTCGATGATTTCATAGCCCTTACAAAGCGGCATCATTTTGACGTGGCATTTACCACCAATTCCTTCGGCTGCAATGCTGCGCTGAAGAGATCCAGCATTCCGTGGGTTTCCTTCCTCAGCATTCCTCCATATCCTGAAATCGTGCTCAGTGATTCCGAGCAAATCTGCAAGTATCCCAACATGGCGAACCCTCGATCCATGTCCGAACTCCGTGGCTCTCTCCTCAAGCGGGTCCAGAACCGAGTAGAGTGCATGATGCTGCAGACTTACATACGGTTTGGCTTGTCTGTTATGAACTCAGTGCTACAGGACAGAGGATTTCCGCCCTTGGCCGATCAAACGGAATTTTATTTCGGAGCCAAGACGAACATAATGCTGGGCGGCCCGCCAATCACTCTGCCAATCCAGTTGCCCACTGGGCTCCATGTTGTGGGCACCGTGGAAAGAAAAACACCTCGTGAATTGCCGGCAGAACTGGAGCACTGGCTGGACCATGCTGCAGCACCGGTGGTCTATGTATCCATGGGAACCAAGTATGAATTCAGTAATTCCAGCGGTTCGAATCTGATCACTGAGCTCCGCAGACTCATGTCAAGCGGCTTCCGGATCCTCTGGTCCCTGCGCAGCTCGCAGCAAGGGGCCTTGCAGCACTTGCTTCCACGTACCGGGGAGCAACTGCACATTGCAAGCTTCACTCCGCAACCCGAGGTCCTCGCACACCCTGCAGTTAAGGCCTTCTTGTCCCATTGTGGCTGGGGCGGGGTCACGGACACACTGGCCGCAGGAGCCGATTTTCAAAACTCGCAACCGGCTTAGGAAAGCCTATCGGATAGTACCCCCTGAAATCGTCCCAGGCGTTCCTGTTCTTGCGTACCCCTCCTTCTCGGAGCAACGTGGCAACGCGCAGAGACTTGTGGAGATTGGAGCTGCGGTGATGCTTGCCCTGTAAACTTCAGTGACGGCAGAGAGAGGTTTGTACGCCTAGTGTCTGTTGACTTGTTTTGATTGTTGATAGACTTTGGTGGGTTGATGTTTGTGTTGGCAGAAGCTGGAGAATTGAGGCTCGTGCGCCCCGACTTTGCCAATCTGGTAGAGGCAGGGCTTCGTTCCAGCAGAAGCACCTGGGCATGGCAGTTGTAGAATCGTAGAAGCCGCGGCTGTCCTGCGTCCGGAAGGCAGCCGAAGCAGTTATCCAGAATGCAGCTTTCGCAGATGCGACGAAGGCGGCTTCATCGGATGCTGGTTCTGACTAGGTGGCGGTCTAGCAGTCCGAAGTCTTATCCTAAGAAGCACTGTAAACGCTTGGGGAAGTAGACAGAAGCTGAAGTGCAAAGTCCATTTTGCCAAGGACTTGCGGAGCTTGGGGGGTCTCAGCCGCACTCTGGATCTTGTTGAAGACGCCGCGGACCTGCGCTTCCCAGACCCATTGCCCGTGCAGTCGAAGATGAACACACTGGATGCGCATTTTGTGCGGGACCATGGGGTGGAGAAGGCACTGAGTATGTCAATTTTGCTGCTGGTCATCTGCGTCCTACTGTGCTGTGGACGGCTCACGATTTCGTGCTGCCACTACTGCTGCTGCTGCTGCTGCGACAGAACACGCAGCAGCTCAGCAGACACGTCTGGCAGCAAGAAGAAGGAACAGTGAGACTCAGTGAGGTTGTTATCCAATGCTATCCATCATTCTCCAGATGTTGTTTTGCAGCTCCTGGCGGACTCCCGACAAGGGGAGCTGTGCTTGGGCTCCCGGCCTGCCTGGTTCACAGCTTGCATCAAACGCCACTGCGGGCTCGGGCTGCGCAAGCTGGAGTGCACAGGTTCGTCCGTCTTCGCAGCTGAATGTGAAACATCGGAACGGAACGTAACCGGCTGAGATCAAAAAGCTCCACAACAGGCCTTTTACGTAGATCTCATTGAAGATGAAGCGCTCTTGGCCTGCCTCTTGCCGCGGTAAGCTTGCAAAGTGTAAGAGGTAGCAACAGGAGCAGTAGACAGTAGATTAGCTGACATGCTCAGTTGGCATATTCCAAGTTAATGTCCGAGTTGCCGGCAGAAGGGACAAACATCGCAACCGAAAGTATGCCTTCCTGGGACGGCCCGTGCAGTGGTCAATCCTAGCCTCTCGCGGACCACGAACCCCTTCAAACTTAAACGAGACTTTCAACGCACCGGCTCGCGGCTTCTTCCGCAACCTGGACTCGTTGGGACGTAGAGATTGAACTATAACCGGGCGTTGCAGAACCTGGATGTGCCGGTCCCGGGAGGTGCAACTGAAAGACACCCGTCTGATGGCCCCGCGGATGCTATGTAGCCAGCAGTTTGATCACCGTCACCATTGTGGACGCACGGACAGCATGCAGGTTTGTTCGCCGTTGCCTGGCAAGCTTTCGCCGGGTTTTGCTTCGTCGCTTGGAAGCAGTTCTTGGATGTGACGACTGGAACCAAGCAACGCAAAACAGCTGATCATGCAAGCATGCACAGTTAGATTTGCCAGAATCTGCAACGGCCACCGGGGCCAAGTGGTCATGATGTCATGCCCTTCGACGTGCTCAGAAACCACTGCAGGTCACAACTACTCGGAGGCTGCAGCCTGTCCGAGCCAAGAGCCAGTCCCTAACAGTGTTCCGATGGTGCGCTTTCAGGCGGCTGCCAAGGCTCTCGTCGGTAGCCCTGCAGCACAGGCCAGGCTTGTTCAGATCCGTCAGCCGGGGCGTTTGCGAGATGCCTAGCACACCAAGCTGCACCTGTTGCACAGGGGGCCTGGCCTCGAGTCAAAGGTGAAGTGCTTGAGGCCGGATAGTATATTAATATTACAAAACGGGACATGTTTTACGCACTCCCAGGCTCCCACTCCCGAATACACAATTACGCACGTCCCGCACTCCTGAATACACAACGCGACCAGGACTTACAAATCTAACCAAAAAACCAAAAAAATAAAAAAAAAGCCAAAGAAAAAACAAAAAAATCAAAAAAAAAGCCAAAGAAAAAACAAACAAATCAAAAAAAAACACACAAAAAATCAAAAAGGGCAAAAAAAAAACAATATTACAAGACCCTGGTCCTATCCATATGTATTAAACAGAGTTCCTGAATACTGTTTTTTGTTTTTTATATTTTTTGTTTTTTTTTGGTTGCTGCTCTTTCTGTGCGCGTATTTTCTCGCGGAGAGCAG